GTTTGCACAGCTATCTAATTGGGGACATTCCATTGACTTCCATTACATTTCTACAGCCCAACCCTGACCACAAACCCTAAAGCTAACCTCACAGGTTCCTCACCTACCTGACCCTAAAACTAACCTAAACTCAATTCCCACCTTGGTCCTAAACCACACCCCCAACCCACCAATGGCATTTAAACCAAATGGGGACTCCACTTTTGTCCCCAAATGCACAACTTGTCCCCAAAGGTAGGATTTTTGTCTTAAAATTGCCCCCAAATGTCACCAAAGCTGTAACCACACACACACACACACACACACACCAATTCTCCAAATTCATTGTTCTCAAACACTCTCTCCTTCTTGGACTGTGAGTACAGTTTTGAAAGGCGCCTCCATTGTGTCCTATCTAAGTGAGTTTTTACAACATGTTAATGAGCAGCACCAGCCTCTTCTGTCCACTCTGCCTCTAAGGCTGTTGCTGAGAGACACCAGGGTATTCACCCAGGCGCTCACAAAGACCAGAGAAGAAGCCTTTGAAATAATGACTCTATAATAACTCATGTGTGTTTCCAAAMCAAGCAAATAAGTACAAGGAAATGAAAGCCTGAGTGGGGAAAAAAAGGAGGCAAAGCTGAGAGTTAGGCAGTCACTTTTAACGTAGCGTCAGGAACAAGACAAGGATAAAGAGGAATCTTTATATCTAATGCACCATTTTGGAGTACTTTAATTTCTGGGACACTCTCGTTACTTAGAGTATGAATCAGTCRTGAAAATGACAGGTGCAGCATTAAATCGTGCGCCGTTCTGGATTCTTTGGATGGTTTTGATCACCAGGGCCAGAGGTGAGATGTTTTCCTTTGTACCAAGAATAAACTAGCCACAAGCTTATCTGGAAAACAATGTTTTAAAACGCTGTTTTGTCATACTGAAAGGTTAGCCACCTTACGAGTTTTAAAACAGATCTGATGTATTTCATCAGCCAGTGATGACAAGTCGAATTTTCTAAGAGTGTAATTTTGAAGTAATCAAAATAAATTTCTCAATTTGAAACTCAAGTGTGAACAGCAGTTTTCATGTCTTGCTTCATGATTCTGAGTTCGATTAAGGTCTGGACTTTGAATGGGCCATTCTACCATGAACATGCTTTGATCTAAACCAGGAGTGTCCAGTCCTGATCTTTGTGGGCCACTATCCTGCATGTTTTACAGGTCTCTGCTCCACCACATCTAATTCAGTGATTAAATTACGCTTTCAAGTTCTGCAGAATTCCGTTAATCACCGAATCATTTAAATCAGGTGTGTTGGAGCAGAGAAAYSTCTAAAACATGCAGGATAGTGGCCTTCAAAGAYCAGGCTTGGATATCCCTAATTTAAACCATGCCACTAGATCATTCATAAGCAAAAAAATTCTTCTTCTTAAATGCTTGTTTGGTTTTTGCCTTCCAGGGAACACTCCTTGTCCAACAGGAGGTCAGATCCACCTGAGCAGCCTGCTCTGCTTTTGGCTCTCTGACATAACCTCATCATGGTTTGAGGCACAAAAGTCCTGTCGAGAGATCTGGGGAGGCAACCTGGCATCTGTTCAAAGTGAGGAGATGCAATATTTCATCCATAGTCGTTTTACAGAGTGAGTCCATTAAAAAGCTTCTGATATTCCCCATTTTGTATTCTTTCCTGTGCTCCATCTTTTGGAACAGATACTATAAAAAACACATTTCTGTTTATGTTTAGTAAAGCCACAGGATGGATATGGTTAAATGCATCACGGACAGAAGGACCCGACTTGTTGGGGCTTACGGAGCCACAAACTTCATCGTGGTGGGGCAGAGATAGAGCAAATCCGGAGCTGTGCCCTCAAATGGCTGTGGGAACCCCGGGAAGGTGGAGGAGAGCTCGGTGTTCTGAACAATACCACTTCATGTGTGAAAATCAAGCAACCGGTAGGTTTATTCCTGAACACCAGGGACTCATGGGAAGGATGGTGATTCATGATAAGGCAATATTAATAAAGAACTGCCTTTTCAAACGAGATTGTATGATTTGGGTTTCTTCCTCTTCGTGCAGATGCATTACCATCTGCAGAGAGTTACCTGACTGGATTGGTTGTCATGACTGGAGTCTACACTCACACAGTGATACAGCCACTTCACACTGCACCAGATATTGGACAACGCACGGTGGAGGTTTGTGCAGCATCAACYACATCTTCAGCTTTAAAAGGCATACAAATTTGACAAATTTCAAAAGTACAATGTTGGTAAAAACAAAATCCTCTTTTGAGGAYATTGGGACTATATTTTGTTATTAATTATGCCATGCAGTTGGATAAACCTGGGAATATTTAAAAGAGTTCAYAAATCTAAATAGTTCTTGCAAGTGGTTTGTTCAACCAATTAATTATATAAGGATGCTCTGATGATATGCTCTRTGATTTCCTACCATCATGTCACGATATTAGTTCTTTAAACTGAGGAGCAATGGGAAAATTGTCATTGATGACGATGATGCACTTCATTGATCTTGCTCTGGTCAACAGCTAGCTGTTGTATCACCAAAATAACCAGTAAAATGTTRCCCCCYATSATGAAGTTTCTCAAATTTTGCATTGTAGTGACTCAGGTATTTTTCAACAAGTGTACTGTATAAACTGCCTGTTGTTAAATGATAAAATATTTGTTGTCAGCTCTTCTTCTCTCATCCACACAGATGCTTCTGTTCCCTGGTTTGTGGTTCAGCCATGCTGGTCAGCTGGTTTCAGTAGAGCTGGTGGTCCAGCCCAGCTCCGTGTCTTCTCTGGCTCGGGTTCAGATCCTCCGACCCTACTGCAGTCCCACCCACCACCTGGTACCGCCAGGTATTTCTCCCACGTGTTCCTTGTAGTTGTTATTGTTGTCTGCAGGTTAATATAATAAGTAATAAGTTCTTTATTTCAGGTTGCAGCTCTCTCCTGAACRCGTTCAGCTGCTGCTCAGCTCTGCCCCTCTGTAACACCACAGGGGGCTGCAGCCTTGGATGGTACTGGTGCCCCCTGCTGGAGGCCTGTGTCCCCAACACCAGTCCATGCAGCTCCTACGATGCTGCAGTCAGGAGCCGGGGCTTCACTTCACCTCCAAGATACTCATCCCTTCCTCCTCTTTACCACCAGGTGGCAGACATGCCTCTGMGCATAAACCCAAGCTCTGAGTTCAGAACACTAAATGTGAGTCGATTTTATCAGCCATCACYGAAAGGCAGGCGAAAATGGTTTTGCCTGTTTCTGTAGTTGTGTTTGCAAAATATCTCATGAACCACTGGACAGGTTCAGAAAGTCAACATTGATTGTATTTCTACAATGTGATTCAAGATGGCCACCGCAGCACAAAACAAAAATGATTAAGAGTTTTACAGATATTGAACTTTAATTTGATGAGGTAGTAGCTTGATTGCGCCTGATCTTTTTGAACCAATTGCTAAATCATATTCTAAGCTTATTTTCAGAGTTCTATGATAAATTCTTTTTTTTTTTTTAATTCTCGTTTTTCGATGACAGATTCTTCTGCCGGAGCAAGGCATCATGGTGTACCCGGACGATGTTGTAGCCGTGCAACACACCCTTAACTCTGGAGCATTTCTGCACTGCCTGAAGAGTGATGCCTCAATGAGCTCTCCTTGGCGCCAAAGTTTTGTGGCCCTCAGAGGAGCAGAGTGGGGAGGCTGGTGGGAGGGGGGCCTCACCTCACTCCCCCAAGGAAGCACGTGGGTGGATGGAGTGGTGTGCAATCTAAGAATCCTCTATGAAGACAAACTTCACCCAGGAACTGAACATGAAGATATTCTGGACTTGATGCATACATCTGCGTCCGATGCCAAGCCCCCGATTGCAGGATCCTTTAAAGGGTCAAACTTCAAAATAAATATCATCCATCCTCTTCCAGATGAAAAGAACCRCATTAATGTACAAATCAATGCCCCAACTGTTATTGTCATCAAGACTTTATTTGGAGATAAAGCCAAAAGCACCTGGTCATTTCCAGTTCTCCAAACTGAAGTCCCCTTTCATCCATCTTGTCCAGAGGAGGTGCTTCAGTCTGCACCTGACTGTAGGACAAAGTCCAAGGACAGCTGGTTTTCCTCTGTGATTCTTGTGTTGCCATCACCGGGTGTTCAGACTCTCAACATTAGTGTGACGGATGAAAACAGGTTTCAGAGTCTGAGTGTGGAAGTTCAAAGCTACGAGGCAGTGACAGGTCTTACTGTGGAGCCACATGAATGCCTGAGGACTCTAATACAAACAACACAGGTGAGTGGAATTCTGGAACAGCTTTGAAACACTTCACAAGCATCTTCTCCTACAAACACAAGAAGTTACATTTTTTTAGCTTAGTTGTTGGACTCAAAGTCTGCGTTAGGAAGGAGGGCAGTATACTGCACTATGTAGAAATTATTATGCAAATGCTATTTTGCTCCAAAGTTCCTAAATAGTCAGTGTAAATGACAGRATAATTTTCAAGTCATCAACTGTCGGTCCATCCGTCCGTCTGTCCGTTTTCTTCCACTTATTGTGGAACTTAATGTTCGGGTCTTGGGGGTAGCACTCTAAGCAGGGAGACAAGAATTCCTTCTCCCAGCCACTTGGGCCAGCTCATCTGGGGGAATCCCAAGGTATTCCCAGGCCAACATAGATCCTCCAACATGTCCTGGGCCTTCCTCTGGGTCTCCTCCCAGTGGTACGTGCCTGGGACACCTGACCAGGGAGGCGTTCAGGAGGCATCCTAACCAGATGCCCGAGCCACCTCAACTGGCTCCTCTCGACAAGGAGGAGCAGCGGCTCTATTCTGAGTCCCTCCCAGATGACCGAGCTTCCCTGCGGAGGAAACTCATTTTGGCCACTTGTATCCGTGATCTTGTTCTTTCAGTTAATACCCAAAGCACGTGACCACAGATGAGGGTGGGAACATAGACCAACCGGTAAATTGAGACCTTGCCTTCAAGTCATCAACTCTTAGAGTACAATTTGAATGTTGTTGAAAAAAAATTCTCCCAATAGTACTTTTTTGCAAAACCAAAAAACCTAAAATGCACTGTTCCAAATTAATGCACACAACATCATTTCAAAACATTGGGCCTCATGCAAGAACCATTCGTACGCACAGATTTGTTCTCAAGTTGTGCGTACGAGTGATTTAGGAGAATTTGTGGCATTCACCAATGTTTTCGTATTCTAAGATTTTTTTCAGGTTACGGTGCGCAGTGCTGTGTCTTCTGAATAAATGAAAATGATTTAACACAGTTGTTTATAC